CTCTCTCTTTACCTCTTTCTATTCCGATTCCACCCATATATATCCTTATCTTATTAAGCTATTACACATCGCAGTTTTTACTGGTCCCCCGTGATTTCTGCTCGTGCTCGTGAAAATTAGGCTATTTTGTTATTCTGCTGTTCATGCTCTTTTCCCCGTGACATACAATATAACAACGTGGCAGTAATTTTAGAATAGAATACTTGTCTTTGAGTTTATCAATATGGACACACTAGAATAAGAAAATCAAGTCTTTGTAACACTTTTTGTTATGTTGGCAGAAAAAAGAAATCCCCCAAAGAGGGGACACCTCCTTACTCAAACATACAATGCAAATGCTGGGTTAGCTTTTGCAACAATAATGGATAGAAGCGGAAAGAGAGAAATGCATTTCTTAGGCTTTTGTTCCGAAACCTAAACAAATATGGGTTTGTCACCGCAGTAGAGAGGTCAATAGGGACTTTTAGATTCTGCACGACGAGAACGTGGACTGCCCTTTTAAGGCACTGGCAGTGACGTCACATTGCCTTAAAAGGGCAGTCCGCCTTCTCGTCGTGCAGAATCTAAAAGTCCCTAATTATTGTTTGTGTGTAATGCCCAATTATACGTCATGTAGCGTAGTGCTGGACAATTTTTTCCATTCATTTAAACACTAAAAAACGACAGAAATTTCATTTATTTTTTAAGATGGTCTTTTATCTTTTAATAGCATCTATGATAATTTGTTACCCATTATATATTTTGAGGAGTGCCCCAGAGAGAAGGCCCTTATAGTCTTAAAAACAGAAATCAATGATATTTTTGTACTCGAAAAAAAGGAGTTGTCCGCTCATACGTCATTATCATATAACAAAATTTGAGATTCGCATAGATTTGGTGATCTAATATTTTAAACATTCATATAGTTCTCTTATTATTGTTCCGATTTATTTTTAAATTTCGCCATACTGCTTCTTTATTTTTCCGCTTTCATACAAATAAACTTATTACCAAGATTGGCTTGCCATTTAATTTAATTGTCTTTTTTACTTTGTGTTCTGTGTTGGGGTGAAAAGTTAACACCCCCACCCTAAATTAATTTCTTTAGACTGATATTTTGACTGGACGTTTGTTTTAATTACCTTTATTACCTGTGCAATTGGTACATAATGCTGGATATTCTGCAAAGTCTTAAAGCACTATAATTCCCTCCATGTTTGTTTTATTGGGTCAGTCTAATGTTGACCAGAACAATAAAGTTCGATTTGATGTCTCTAAAAGTCTCTAAACTGGAAGTTGAATAGGCCTATGTCTACGGTCCATGAGACTGACAGCTCACGTAACCGGTAATGTCGGTCGATCGCGAACTCTCAGAAAATAATATTCGATCAGAAAACACGTTTGTTTCCATTTTGTAAGTCGGTTTTAACAAAACCGACGGCCCGCAAAAGACAAACAGCCCAGTAGACCCACGTGCTGGTCTCGGGGGGCATTCTAACAACCTTTGTTAGGGTTCTCGAGACCAAAATTAGTAGGCGCGGTGTATCAGTGGTGTTTGGAGCAGTGGTTTTATAACACTGAGGGTCGAGGTCTTTGAATCGAAACCAAGTCGATGTCCTCGAGCTCTTTAAAGCATTAATCCTCATTACCAAGTTCCTCGTAAACGACAACAATCCATGGGTCAATAATTATTGATTGCGTACTAAGTACCCATGCTTTCTTAGAGGTCAGGTAAAAGAAAAATAAGCAACCAAACATTAGGCTGTCGGTCTGCTGGAATGGCATGAGTCAAATTCAAATTCAAATTCAAATTCAAATTTATTCATGTTTCCAACAAAACATTACAAATCAATTATAAGCATTTAAAACAAATTTAAGAAATACATGTTGGAAACAGAGGGGTCCACTAAAAAGCGATGCTTGTACAAGTGTGAACACCTCAAATGAAACTTAGGAATAATGAGTAATTAAATTATCTAATATGTAACTACAAAAGGAACAATAAAATAGGGGAAATAAAAGGGGAATGCCAACAGAGACGAGAAAGGGACAAGACAATACTTTACACGACAAAGATAGAAGAACACGAGTCGATTGCTGTCACAAAATATAGGCCTACTCAAAGCTCTTGATTTTTTTCTTCATGTGCTAGTTTTAATCAAAATCTACATTATCAATCATGACAACCCGTTTACCATTTCTTTATTTGATTCTTTGTGTCATCTTGTCATCTTGCAGGTCCAATCCAGCCTGACAATGGTAAGAATAGCCAACCCTCTATAGGCAATTATCAACTTCTCATTCAGAATGCAGACGGCCGCGGTAGCCAGGCTCATGGACAAGACGGAAAGGCCAACCCCTTGGGCCAGAATCTTAAACATTTCAAAGACATCGTCAATTCTCAGATACAAAAAAGACCAACTCGTGATGATCAGACTGAGGCTACGGTGAAGACAGATGCGCCACCTCGAAGCAACAAGTTCGTGATCCTCACATCAGTGAACGCAGAGTTCGTCGACATTGCCGAGAATTGGTTGGAAAGTCTTCGACGATTGGGAATCCGGTACAACATCACGATGGTCGCGGAAGACCAGGACACCTTCAAGTACTTCTCTATCAGGGCCAACAGAGAGTTCCGGGTGCTTTACCAGAAACAGTACGCGTTCAACTTCACCAGGCGGTACGGCCCTGTCATGATGTACCAGGAACTGATTCGTCGCAGGACCGTGTACATCAGGACTTTGCTGGAGCAAGGGAACGACGTGTTGCTGGTAGATGTTGACACAGTGTGGATCAAGAACCCGGTTGACCTGATCTTGAAGGAGTACGCCCTCTACGACATATGGCTGGCCCAGGGATACGAGAACCACATACCGTGCCCATGTTTCATGTACATGAAGTCGACTTCTGAGGTCGTCGCCATGGTGAGAGAATGGGTCAAGCGATTGGAAAATCAACGCGGAAGGAGTTTGGAGTCGGACCAGGTTGCTTTGACCAAGGTTTTGCCCCTCTTCCCGGATATTCCGATCCAGAAGATGAGCTTCGAGAAATTCCCAACCGGTAAGCATTACTTCGATCGGGCGTGGCTGGCGCTTCACACAAAGGAGGTGTATGTTGCTCATGGTAATCATCTTGGACGACATGATGGAAAGAAAAAGAAGCTTAAAGAATTCGGTCTTTGGATGCTCAATTATTGACAATAACTTTGATCGTCGTATTGAAATATAGTACAAGCTTGTTTTTGATCAACAACAATGAATCAATATAAAATTGTTTGCACTGTTAAAGATGCCAACTTTGTATCAATCGTTCTGTCAGTATAATTTATGGAGTGACAATTCATTCGACAATTATTTGAAATTATTTATTTAACTCCCATGTACATTATTTTAGAAGTTAAGCTTCTTCCCAAAATGATAATCTTAGCATTAACTGATAAACCGTAAGTCAAGCAAGGTAAAACACTTCAAGATCTATAATGCACGTGGCCATTGTCAAACTATTTTGAATGGTACGTTATAAGTATGGATGTGGCGAAGGAATCGGACTGACCGTGATATAATTTAAATAAAATACGAAGACAAACAAGACAAAAAGAAAAAAAGACAAAAAAGGCAGGGTAATTTACCGACATCGATACCACGGCTTTAATGTATTTTTAATTGCGTCATTGTTCGGTTCCTGTATCAAAGCATCATCACGCCGAGTGTCATCGGTTGGTGATGCATTATGGGACATGGCTGTCGACAAATCGTGCCATTCTGAGCAGCAATTATACGTAAATCCAAAGTAGTGTCAGTAAAATATACCCTGCCTGTGTCACGACGGCCAAAATCATAAACTCCCAACGGCTCATTCTGAGCAACAGACGTAGAAGTTTGTACTGTCAATAGAATACCCTGCCTTTAATTTTTTTTCTCATTACGGCAATAGTGATTAACTCACAATCATTAACATCGTATAATATGGTTTATGGTAATAGAATTAAATTTTTGTAGCTAAAATGTAATAACATTATAAAACAAGAAACAATCAAATTAAGACTCACTGTGAAGTTTAAAAAACGGAAAAGGAATACAAAAATTGTATTAAGAAAATGTTCATATTCATAATAATATTATATATTATATCCTGCATCAAAAATTTGTTGGCTTATGATTGGTTGAGAGATCGTCACATGACCAGAAATATTTGACCTACTTTTAGAAAGTACTATATGAGAGTACTATTTTGGTTTACTATTTGGGAGTTGGAAAAAAAAAAAAAAAAAAAAAATCTTAATTTAATGAAAACAAAATATTTTAAATCTTTTTAGATAAAAATTGACATTTTTTTGTCCTAAATTTTTTTTCTCCCAAAAATGTTTTATTTTTTTAGATTTAAAAAAAAAAATTAATTTTTGATGCAGGATATAAAACAAATATACCATGCCTTCTATTCGAGGTACTGGTTAAACTATGGGCCTCGGTGACTCCAAAAGTACCATTTACTTCGGGGCTGCGCCCCTCAGCAAATAGTACTATTGGAGTCAACTCTTGTGCATAGTTTTAACCAGAACCTCTCAAGGCAGTGTATATTTGTATACTATTTATGGTACTTGCTGATAAATAAATACGGTATTGCAACCCATATGTAAGATTGGAGTTCAAGTTTGCTTATTTCAAAGTTGAAGAGTGAATCAATATGCCCTGAAATTATTATTTTCAAATTGGAATAGCTTTTTTGACATTTGAATGCATTTGTACACATTTTGCATTGATAGTGATCATAGGATTTTGTTTATTATGAAATGATTACAAAAATTACTATTAATAAATCCTCTTCAGGGCGGTTACAATACGTAATGGTTTTGTCAATAGAAACCGTATGCGGATTGGGTAATACATGTTACTGTCCCGTTCGCGGCATTTTTTTCTGCGGCACAGATTGGGGCTTGTTTTTTTTTAAAGAGGTCTTGACTCAACCCTCACCCTAAACTTTCCCATAGGCTCAACACGCACATAACCCCAATGTGGGCCGCAGAAAAAAAATAACGCGTCCCGTTCGCGTACAAAATGGCGCACATAACGCACACGAGTACTGAAATTTCCTTTGGGCCGATTTTTTATACATGATGCATTTTACACGCAAGTATATACATAAAGTGTGCAGGTCATTATTTTTCGCTATACTGCCCAGCAGTGAGTAGCAAATTTGATGCCTGCAGGTTAGACCAATTAATCAGACGCCTAGTATAATGGTATATGAAAATGTATAAATTTAATGTGCCGCCATCATGTGACACTTTCATCAGTATCGACCAACTTTTCTGTATTCGTGCACGGACCAAACCAACTGTTCCACTTCTCACGTCTGATATCGACCGAAATTTGAGTAAAAAGAAGCGATAACTTCAGTCGGCTTGCGGTGTACGCTGCATTGTTGATTCCATCCCATGACATGCGCTTGGTGCATGAATCTAGCAGACAGAATCTGGAATGGATTGATGAAATAAGAAGAGAGAGAGGATTAGTAGAACACTCCCAGTGTCATAATTTAGGACAAATACCTTATCAAATCACCTCTAGGACAACTACATGCACAGACATCTACACACTAAGAAAAAATGGTGCAAGTAGGGGTGCAAACTAATGCAACACTGGCAGCACCTTTAGGGGTTAAATCCTGCACCCTTTTTAAAGGTGCAATCCTGCACCCCCGCCTCCCCCACCCACTCCGTGAACGGAGGGATACCATGCGTGTTACCAAAATGTCCGGTAAAGGGGTACTTTTCACGCAAAAGTCCGGCTCGTACATACACAAACAACACTTTACACACCGGACTTAGGGGGTGTTTTCAAAAGGAGGAAACATGCATATGCGTACCCTAAATAACACTGAGTGGAGGAGCCGGGCCTGCACCCTTTAAAAGGGTGGCAGACTGGACCTATTTGGGGACATGTGCAAACCGATGCGACACTAGCAGCACCTTTATGGGTTCAATCCTGCACCCTTTAAAGCCCCACTGTCCTACTTGTGGCTACTTGCTCCCTCTATATAGAAAAACTTCCCCAACCGGTGCCTGTTGGTCCCCCATGATCCTCTTTTTCTTATGTTAGTTGAGAGCTGACTTAATGAGATAGCCACCTGTCAGTAACCTCGTTGTGTGGTCTAATCCCTTCTGGCCCAGTAGTGTTGACGGTCTTTAAGAGGGTGCCAGATCGAACCTTTGAGGAGACATGTTAGCACCCTTAATGGTTCAATTCTGCTCCATTAGGGGTGCAAACCGATGTAATAGCAGCACCAATACTCGAGGAATACTCGTGAAATTTGCTCGTACATACATAATGCATGTTGTTTCTTGGTTAGTAATCATATAATCAATATATCTGTTGCTAAAAATGTGAATGTAATTGTAACATGATCAGAAAAAAATAATCTATTGGTTAATGATTGCCGAAGGAAAATACAAATCACAAAATTGATGTTCATTGTCATAATTTGCTTAACAAATCATGATAAATGTATTTTTATGTGAACGCGTGTAAAGTAATCATGAATATGCATGCATTATGCAAACATTTTTATTTTGCACCCTTTTTTGGTCGATAAGGTTCATTTTTGTGGGGAGGGTGCAAAATATTATATTGCACCCTTTTTTGAACCCCTTTTCCTTCAATAGGGTTCATTTTTATGTAAAGGGTGCAAACTCTTATTAAGAAACAACGCGGGAAAAGACGCGGGAAAAGAAATGAGGATGACATACCTGTTCCGAGATGAATATGCGAAACTCGAGCATTTGCAACTTGAGAAGAGGTACAAGGTTTCGTATTAAAATGGACAGATGGTTGTGCCGATTTCTGAACGGAATAACGAAGGCTACCTGCAAATAATTTAACAAAACAAAAAACAAAAAACATTTAAAGTACAACCGAACAGTATTGTGGACGACATGAGATTGCGTAAATGCCATTGCCAGTATGCATTTTTCACATTGTAATTGCCACTGCCATTGCAAATATACACTTTTGGTCATCAAGGTGGAATAATTATTTTTACCCCAATTTATGGAATGCTTTTGACAATTATTTACTCCTAATAGATCTAAATAAAAGTAAACATTCTCATATTTTATTGAATTATAATTTGCGAGTGTTTGTTGTGCGTGACTGCTAAAGCATGTGTGTGCTACAACTGGGGGACCTACGTCCTTAAGTCAAAACTGACAGTAATGAGGATTAATGCCTCACAAAAGGGCACTAATATAGCACATCGGCACGGTTTTGACCCGGGGGGGGGGGGGGCTCACAGTACGAGGCCATTGCTTAGCCACTGAATCGTGAATGTACGCAGCGGGGGCTAGGGCACGTTGCCGCCCCCACAAATACACAACAAAATGCAATACGTTATCAATAATTCATTGCATTTTGCCCCGACCCTTAACATAACAAAATCCTATATAATTATGTGAGCATGCCTTGAACCATGATGCATGGCCTTACAGAAGAATGAATACAATATAATAATATTTCCAACAAATCCGCATCACCAACACTGTTACATGCAGGCCCCGCAGAACTTTTTTTCAAACTTGGTGGGGGAGGGGCTAAAGTATTTACGTTCAGGTAAAGCGTAGCGAGCAAAGCGAGTGAAACGTAAATTGGCGTGGGGCCCAGGGGAAAAAGCCCCAGTGGGGGGTCAATGGCGGACCCCTAGGAAGCTCAGGGGTTTTAGGCATTTGATTACGGTCAGATGAGCATATTTTGATACCTTATTTGTCACACTAGCAGGTCACTAATTAACGTGGGGTCCAGGGGACTGAGCCCCATGAAGCTCAGGGGTTTTAGGCATTTAATAATGGTAAGATGAGCATCCAGGGGAACGACTTAGGTCCTCTAATGGGTTGAGAGGGCGGAGCCCTCGCAAGCTCAGGGGTTTTAGGTATTTGATATCGGTCAGATGGGGATATTTTGATACCTCATTTGTGGCATTGGCAGGTCACGATTTTTCTTTCTTCCTTTCTTTCTATTTTAATATCTTAAACATACTTTTTTTTAAGTAAGGGAGTGGCTCGAGCCCCCCAGCCCCGCCGTTCCGCGGGCCCTGACATGTAGGCCTCTAAATAAGAAAACTTTGGCCTGACTGCAAACTTGGGAAAGTGTCATTTTCCAGCAAACAGATAACAAAGTATAATTTATAAACCATGTCAATCATGTCATTTCAGCAAAATTTGTAAATCATTGGTATCGAATTAGAAATAAACAACGTATGATTTTTTTTTTTTTTTTTTTTTTTTTTTTTTGGGGGGGGGCACGCCTTAAAGCCCCCCCCCCAACCCATCAGTACGCCAGTGCGGCCCTACCTTGTCATGTTCTATAGACATAGGCCATGTCATGGTGGGAAAGTCTTCATCCCGGGAATAGGATGCCAATGGAGGCCTAATGTGTAAAAGAGTTCCCAACCTATAAACGTTATAATGAAAACTTATGGTAAAGTAAAACCCCACTGTACTCTTCATAAGAGATTAGGGATCGGATCAGGGATGGGGGTGGTTGAAACCTTCGATACAGGGCTTGCACATGACATCTCGATCATTCCGTGACGAAAAACCCGAAGGTTATAGAATATATTCCCATAGTAATAACATATTGTTTTTGTCATATTCATACCTTGTCACATCAATACTATATCACATCGTATCTTTTCATATGATATAATATCATAATAATTATTATATCATATTAATATCATATCTTTTCATATAAAACATTATATTCTTGCATCACATGATATCGTATCTTATAATGAATGTTTTGTTATCATTTCGTGCAATGTTAAGTCAGGTGATATCATATTTAGATCATGATCATATTATGTTATGTAATATCAATCATGTCGATCATATCTCCTTTGTATCATGATATTCATACGATTGTGCCGGTAAAGTGTTAATTTGATTTCTTCAATCGTTATGAGTTTATTTTTACTGTACAAGTGTTGCCGTAATTATATCTCACATTTATAATTTTGAAATATGAATGTAAATGTATTTATTCCTGTTATATTCTGGCCCGTCTCCTTGGTCCAGTGGTCAAGACATTGGCGTTCTAATTAGCCAGTGACCCTTGTTCGATTCCCGGCGGAGTCATTTTTTCCACATTCGCAATCAATTCCGAAAAGGGACGACAGCAACTAAAAGTATCTAGGAAACCAATGTATTTCCCTGGCGTTGGATTACTTTTTTTGTCTTTGATATTCTTTCTTACTTTCAAAATAGTCTTGCAAAAGTCAGAATCATCTTATTTTTATGAAGCCGCGGACGAAGTAAAACAGTTAATTTCAAGGATTTGTATTTCAATTGTTTCAATCAGCATTAAGATACTCTCGTAGAGTAGGTTGGATAGAAAATTTATAATGAAAAAATATGCATCAGTATAAACAAACTTGACACTTCTGTGGTGTTGGAAAGGGGAAAAACAAATGCTGATCAATGAATTTTCTGTCCAATTATTGACGTTTGCATTTGTCTCTTTCGATTAGAAGCCTGTTCATTATGAATGACAGTGCTACCGTAAATAGACAGTAAGGTGGCAATTTAATTGTTTAGTAATACAAACTAAAAATTCAATTACCAACAGATGGAGCGTTCTCTTTTATACAAATATTGTTGTATTAACATCAACAGAAATATCCGCACTGTAGGCCTAGGCATACAAACATGTACATCGCACGCAATAGATCCAAGATCGCCAGCGAGAGCCCTCCGCCCCCCCCCCCACATTCGGAATCGTATAGGGCCGGTGCTATATATCTCTCAGGAAAGCATAACCTATAATACATGTACGTTCCTTTACCGTGTGCGTAGACCATTTGAGGGTTTTCGAGGGTAGATTTTCCAAATAGGAACTTGTTTATGATGCTTAAAATGTGTTTTTAATGTAATGGTAGTTGACACAATTATAGCACAGGAAACCATTTATCCAGGCGCGTATCAAGGATTTGCCAATAGCGGGAGGGGCGCGGATATTTGAAAATCGCACAGACCGTTATTTAATTAACTCAAGATCCCAATACTGACAAAGTCATATTAGAAGAACCGTACCGGTAACTACAAGCGGGCACAACTTTGAAAAGGGGCCAGGCCCACGCCACGTCATGTCACTTTAACTTTGAAATTTGTTATCCAATGAATAAAAAAATATATATCATGAGTTCTTTTACATGAATGATAAGTAGATCATCCCCAATACGCTTGAAGTTCACAATTATGTGCACCTCTTCCTCCTTATTCCCTCATCTATCGTTACCGTCACTGCAATTTACGTATATGGCCGGCCCCCTCTTCAATATGGCTCCCAAGATTTCTGGAATTACCCCCAAATTTCCTGATACCAAAAAGGTCATATTGGAAGCAGGGGCCGGGCGCGGCCTTTTCAGAAGTATTTTTTCACTAACCTTTTTAGGCACTACGGCTTAAAATAAACAATGCTTAT